AAAAAAAAGAGTCCAGTAAAGTCAAAGAATTCCTTCAAAACGCCCCGAAATTTGCAATGTAGTTCTTCGGGAGAGTAGGAGGGGGTGGGGCAGGGGGAGGCGTGGCAGGAGGAGGGGACGGGGAGGCAGGTTTTGGGAGAATCCGAGGGGTGAGAGGGGATTGGCGATGATTTTTCTCGTCTTATATTTGCTATTTCAGCTATATTCACCAGAAGATTGGAGGCCGGTGCAGAATGTGGAGATAACGTTTGAAGAATTCGAAGTTGTTACTTCCAGCGATGAAGTTGTTTTACGGTCCGAAGGTACGGTATCCGGTGTACAAAATTATCTGGCTGTTGGAACAGCCTGTAATTACGGTGAAGAGGTGTTGGTACGAGGTCGAATTATTATTTCTGAAATCATCGAAGTAAGTAACACATTATTCTGCTCTCGAAAATTGTGAGAAAGTCCTTCATCCTGGGCACATATCCCTCGAGCTTGTACAACGTTAGAAATCTAAAATCAGCTTTTACATCTCTTTGTTCGCTTATTTCTGACGACGAATTTGGATCTTTGCTAATATTATATTTGGGGTTGGATATGTAAGCTCAGAGTAATCATTAAGCTTAGCGAATATCGCAGTGCATGCTCACCTCCCCCCCCCCAACCCCATTTTGGTCGAACTGTTACTCAGCGTCTAAATTCAGGCTATTTTATAGTTTTAGAGAAAGACAGAATGCAAGCTAAAAATCTCGCAGTTTATGATCACCGAACTGTGCGACTGAAATCGAATTCCAAAAAATGATCTGAAATCAATTTCCAAAATTTATGATGCCTATTTTTTTACCTCGTTTCGCTCAGACACAAGCAATTTTTTAAATCCCGGAGCAAAGTAACAACGAAACCGTGATGAATGGCGCAAATTACACGTAAAAAGCGGAGTGAATATAGCCGGGAACAGTCACGAATCACGTTTTGTACGTTGCGTCACTTATCACTTATGGTGCATAAGTGTGTTTTCATCAGATTTCGAGCACCAATTGTTTATTGCACCTGGTATGCTCCTGCATCATTCTTGTTTCGTTCAGGTAGTGCCGGAACCAGGACAGCCAACAAGCAAGCACCGAATAAAAACACTCTATGATAAAGAGCAGAAAGGACCAATCACCAGTTTGTGCTCATGTAATGGTTATCTCTTGACGGGCATGGGGCAAAAGGTGTGCACTTTCTCATTTTACTACAATGAATTTTACTAAAAAGTAAGTGTAAAATTTACCGAAAATAATGCAGTTCTTTTGGTAAAGCAGTGGCAGTTGCGTGCGTAGACTTCGGAACTTGCTTATTTGAGACTTTCGCAAAGAAACATTTATCAGCACTTTGCCAGCATAAAAAAACATCCTCTTGCGGGCTCTTCGAAAAAACATCGGGCTTCGCTGCACTTTTGCTTCTGTAAGTAATTTGAGCAAAATTAATATTAGCATTTCATGTGTCATTAAAATTTCGATCTTAAATCCATTTCGAAAAGTTTTTTGATGTTTGACGAAAAAATTTTTCTGATGTGACACTTGTTTTCCATCTTTTGATTCTTTTTCATGACTCGAATCTGCGCTAGCCTGAAAGACTAATAAATTTATAGGTTTTTATCTGGTTATTCAAGGATAACAATTTACAAGGAATATCATTTTTGGACATGCATTTTTATGTTCATCAACTGATCGGAGTAAGAAATCTTGCGCTTGCTTGCGATATGTATCGTTCAGTCTCGCTGCTGCGTTATCAGGTAAGCATTTAGCACTGGGGTAGCTGGTACGGTCATGTGCTTCATGCATTTTCTTCCAGCGGACATTTGCTGTTAAGAATTTTCTCTGTTTTACATTTGGTGTATGCGGATATGTTGCCTGATTTCTAAGCTGCAAAATTTCCCACTAAAAATTTCGCGTCCCATTACGGGAAATGCAAGCTTACCTGGAAGCTGAAGTCGGAATCTTTGAATTGCATATGGATGGGGAGGAACACCCTTCTATAATCTCAATTCCTATCTTCCTGGATTACAAAGTAGTGCCTTTAAAACTTTCATGTGGCTGTACGTGAGTCCTAGACATACTTGGGATCTAATTTTAAGTTTGGGAAGTCTGTGCATAAGCGGAAAACATCCTCATGAAATTTCCTAGCTCCTCTAGTTCCCGAGATAATTTGCCTCTTACTTCACGTACTCGGGACTCAGGTGTACATGAAAACTGAGCTCAGTTTTATGGAGTCGCATATAAGCAAAGAACATCCTCCTGAAATTTTAGCGCTCTAGCTTATATGGTTCCCGGGCCAATAATTTTTTTCGCCAAAATTTTTGGGGTCGTACTTGAGACCTGGGCATACAGGAAGGCTAAATTTAAATTTACGAAGTTGCACATATGCACATAAATGGGAGTACTAACCTAAAATTTCCGCTTCCTAGCTTTTGTGGTGCCTGAGATAATTTTTCCCACCGAAACTTTCACTGAGCTATATGTGAGATTTACTCGTACGGAAAAGCTGAAATTAAATTTGCAAGTTCGTAAGGAGGCGCTGAACATTCTCTTAAAACTTCGGCTTCCTAGTTTTGTGATTCCGAAACTGAAGGCACGGAATAAAACATACTCAGACGCACATACACATACCAACACACACGCACAAGCAGGGGCATAAGGGTATACATCCGTCCCATAGTACAAATCGTATAA